AAGGTCCAAAGTCCAAACCAGTTGGGGAGTAGCTTGCGTTGCTCAAGCGCAAACTCTTCCGCGGAGACCGAAACAAGGTCGCCGGCGTGGATAGGACATGGCACGCGACTCCTATTGTCTTGCTGCTGCATGCGAACTTGAGCCTTTTGCATGCTTTAGCCAGCAATTCCTAGTACTTCCGAACGGAGGAGAGAGAGCAAGGGGCGTCAATGTCGGCAGTCCGTGGGAGTAGGAAATCGGCGAAGATATGGCCTTTAAGGCCACCGTGGTGCAACTCGAATGGAGTCACGCAGATCGCCGGATGCAACGAAGTGTTGTAGGCGAACTCGATGTCGGGGAGGCGGTCAACCCAATCCTTCTGGTCCGGATGGATGAGCGTACGAAGCATCACTTGAGTTGTTTGATGTGCCTGCTCCGTTTGCCCGTCCGTTTGTGGATGCCGACCTGAACTCGATTTCATATCGGTGTCGGACTCCTTCATGAGAGAAGTCCAAAATGCTGATATGAAGCGAATGTCGCGGTCTCTGACGATGTCTTCTGGGACGCCGTGGCTGCAAATCCAGCCGGTGTGCAAGAGTTGTGCAAGCTCGGGAGCAGTAGCGTAGTACTTCAAGGAAGAAATCGCGCGTACTTGCTTAATCGGTCAACGACCGTGAGGATGTCGTTGTGCCCGACGCGGTCGTGGGGGAACAGGCTGGTGACGTCCATAGCAATGGAGAGGTCAGGTTCCCACGGGATGGGCAACGTGCGCAATTCGCTGTAGGCATTGCGAGTGCGGGGCTTTCTTCATCGACAAACTTCGCAAGAGTCTCAATATCCGGTGTATATGTAGCCAGCTTTGGTACTCGCTGAGAAGGCATTCCGGAGGTGACGGTCTCATGGGATGCATAATAAGTCCTTGCCTCGCGAGCGGAGAAGCAAGTACCCGTCGACGATGCAATAGTGGCTGGTCGGCGGGTGATCTGACGATAGCGGTGCATAGAGCGTGGCATAATCCGGATCGGACTGGTAGCCTCGGATGAAATGTTGTTGGAGTTACTCATCGAATGCGAAGGCATGATGTGTCATGGCGCAAAGATCGTGTCTTCACGAGAGTGCATTGGCTGCGCGATTGGAGAGACCGGTGAGATGTTTCAGTGTGAAGTTGAATTGGTCGATGAAATACATCCATCGTCCGATAGTGTTGTTCATCGTGTCTTGCGTCTTGTACTAGGTCAACGGGTTGTTGTCGGTGACCCATGTGAACCTACGACGCCCAAGGAGGAAGAGTCGCCATCGCTTGAGAGCCATCACGAATGTGAGCAGCTCCTTCTTCCTCGCATCATCAAGTGAATTGATGGGAGACACCTTATGGCTGAAGTACTCCACGGGATGCCAATCTTGTCTGCGAGCGGACAGATGCCTTGCGACATCACATAATGGCCCAAGTATTCAAACTTTTGTCACGCGAATTCACATTTGTTGCATTTGGCCTTGTACTTGGCTTGTCGTAGTCGTTCCAAGACGGTTCACAGGTGGTCCACATGCTCGTCCAACGCCGGTTGTACACCAAGATATCGTTGAGGTAGATGAGTACGAATCGGTCCAGCATGTGGCGAAACTCCACTGTCATTGCCGCTTGGAACATGGTCGGGGCATTCGTAAGGCCAAAAGGCATAACCAGCCATTCGAAATGCCCATATCACTCCTTAGACGCGGTCTTGTAACGGTCCTCCCGCCGGATCTCGAGTTGGTGATATCCCGATTCAAGGTCGAGCTTGGAAAGTAATTTAGCATCGCCCAGCCGTTCAAGAAGGTCGTCGATTCGCGGAAGAGGGCCGACATTCTTGACGGTTTAGGAGTTGAGCTTGCGATAGTCAATGCACAACCGCAAGTCCTTGTTCTTCTTCTAGACGATGAGAACGGGAGCACCGTAGGGCAAAGAACTGAACCGAATCCAGCCTTTCTCAAGAAGGTCGTCGAGTTGTGCCCGTAGCACACTTAACTATTCCTCACTCATGCGGTAGATGCAACCACGCGGAGGTACATCCCCGACGTCAAGAATGATATCGTGGCAGATTGGTCGATCCGGTACGACTCCGTGTGGGGCTTCGAAAACGTTCCCGTAGGCGTCAAGAATCTCGATGATGCGTGGGTCCGTCGATGCGTCCGTCGATGGATTGTCATAGGGAGGGAAGGCGTGTAGAAAACACAAGCCCATCTCCTCGACGTCGTCCCGTGTGATGGAAGCTCGAATGCTCGTGGCGGACATCACGTGACAGTTGATCGAAGGGTGAGGTGGAGGAACCGTGCATGGGACTAGTACCACGTTCCGATCACGAATGTGAATGGTGCGACGGTAGAAGCTCACCAGGTGATCCTCGCTTTGCAGCCACGACATGCCCAAAATCATGTCGAACTTGGTGTCCAAAGTGTCAAAGGACACGGGGACAAAATCAATGCACCTGTCGATTGACTTGTGCATGTGGCCGTCGGCCAATGTGACTTGTGTGGGCTGCGACTTCCTCCGAGCGCATGGCCCAAGGCCAACGCGTACCATAAAATCTTGGCTCATATAGTTGCGAATCGCTCTGCAATCAATCAAAGAGCTGCAAGTCGCTTCTCCAATCTGAATGCGTATGTACAACAATGGCGCGTCGTGTTTGTCGTATCGTTGTGTTTTGAATTCGCGGTTGATCTTCTCAAGGTAGTCGCGAAGGTCGACAACCTCTACTCCGGCGTCCATCAACGGAGCTGCAGTGTGCAAGTACTCCCGCAATTGTGCCATGAGCGCATTGCAATGCGGTTTGACAATCTCGACCGGTCGGGGGAAGTGGCATTCATTGGAAGTCTGCGATCGTCAACGGGTCGAGTTCCTCAAGCCTTGACCATGACGTCGAGTCCCCGACGAAAGTTGGCGGTAAAGCTGCGGAATCAGTTGCCGATGGTGATGAAACCGTGCATGCGGTGGAGTCTTGCATGTGGAGTGGCTTATGGTGGGACCAAGTGGACAGCGTAATCCTCGTAAGTGTACCAAGGACTTGCCACACTTGCGTTCTCCCCGAATGCGTAGGAGGCCGCTAGCAAGGCGGCCGAATCCGGCGGAGTGAGAGGTGGAGTCGCCTCACCTCCCGCGCGGCTCAGTCTCCCGAGCTGGTTCGAGTTCGAACATCCTCCTTGCCCTAATGCTGGCACTAGGAGGTCTTGTGGTTGGTGCTGTTGCACCGATAGCAACAACCATACCAGTTGTGCCACTTGTATTCGGCCTCGGTCAAGCTAAACTTCACCCATGGTACTGGGTGTCCGTTTCCGGCCGGCGATGTTGTTTTCGCCTTCCCTTTTCCACGAGATTTGTTGTTGCTTTGCGGCTGGACGGTGGCCACCTGATCTCCCTCACGTGATGCTGGGGTGTCTTTCGGGTCTTCCACAAGGTTGTCCGGTTGGATTGCAGCGACTGGCTGCGGACTCGGACCAAATTTTCCTTTCTCCACATAGGCTGGCTGTGACACGGATTTCTTGTGTGCTGCTGCCCGGTTGGTCTTGATGATCTGACGAGCCTTGTCGATCATTTCAGCGAAGGTCGTGTAGTTTTTGCGATCACCGAGAGTGAGGCTCAAGGCGGCACATGACCGGTTGTAGCCCCGCGGCGCAGATGCGAAAATGGGAGGTGAAGATCGGGTGTTGCCACGATCTTCGGCCATTCCGTGAGCCAGTCACGTGTCAGTGTGTTGCCTTGGGTCGTGACGAAGAGGCGGTTGGTGGCGAGCGTCGGGGCGTCGCCAACGATAAACCRCTTCTTCCATTCCTTTGTCAGATCTTCCCATGAGATCTTGGTGTGAAGGTCTGTGACCTGGACACCGTGGATGGTTGCCATGTGGTTGAGCCAGA